CTGAACCCAAATGTTCACAGAGGCCAGAAGAAGGCACAGGATTCCATTTATTTCTAATGAATATATCACCCTGAATCCTGAAATACTGCCTATCCATCATGTAACTGAACTATGTGAGACTTTTAAATATACTGGAGAGCAGGAAAGATGGTTCAACCATTAAAAAAGGACCTGAGCTGAATCCCCAGCATCCATACTTAGTGTCTCACCACTGCCTGTAACTCCAACTCTAGGTGATCCAATACCTTTGGCCATTTTGGATACCTGCATTCATTCGTACATACCACTCCCCACACCTATACACAATTAAAAAGGAATTTTAAAATTATTTTTCCTTTTTATTTATTATGTATACGGGTGTTTGCCTGCATGTATACACGCAGAACCTACAGAGACCAGCCAGGGCATCAGAATCCCCTAGGACTGAAGTTATAGAAGGTTGTGCACTACCATGTAAGTAGGACCCTGAGACTTCTGAAGAGATCCATGTGTTCTTAACCACTGGGACATCCCTAGTTCCAAAAAATAAATCCTTAAGTACAGTGTTGGTGATGCAAGCCTTTAATCCTAGCACTAGGGAGCCAAAAGCAGGTGGATCTTTGTGACTTCCAGGCTACATAGTAAGAACCTGTCTTTAAAAACAAGGGGAAAAAAAGAAAGAACTTTAATCACAGTTTAAAGATAGTCAATACAGAATAAAACAATGTTTTAGTATTTAGTGATAGTGCGATAAAATAAATTATTTGAGAGGGTTAGATGGTTAAAAGTAATTGCAACTATAAAATGCTGTTTGTATAAAAAAGATCTGTAGGTTGCAGCTGAGTGTAAATCTATAAAAGCATTCAAAGCTAACTATGTGAAACAGATGTCAAAAAGCTAAGGGAGGAACTAGGATTGCAGGTTGTTTTGCATCTGTTAAGGACTGGAGTTCCAGCCTTAGTCCTCACAAAAAACCCAACCAACCAAACCAAGGATCATTATCAAAACATCACAATATTTGTATCAATAACTATATATTATGTGTGTGAATTTAATAAAGGGAAGAAATTTGGCTTGAAAATAGACTTGCAAGTGTATGGTAAGCAGTAGTACAAAGCAGCTGAGATGAAAACCAAGTATGCACTATGAAATGAACAAAATGGCAGATTTTTAAACCAAGTTGGGTAACTCCAAATACCCTTTAGTTTCCAACATTGAATTTTACACCTCAAGGAATAGTAAATAGTATGGCTACAAGTCAAGCAGATGGACAATTATTTATTAAGAAAATTCAAAAGAAGGGGCTGGAGAGATGGCTCAGCAGTTAAGAGCACTTGTTGCTCTTCCAAAGGACTTGGGTTTGATTCTCAGGGCCCACATAGTGATTCACAACCATTTGTGACTCCAGATTGGGCAGATCTAAGACCCTCTTCTTGTCTCTGAGGGCAACAAGAACACATGGTAAACAGACATATATGTAGGCTCATATACATAAAATAAAATAAAATAAAACTAAAAGAGGTTGCTGGAATTTTTTTGTTTGTTGTTTTTGAGGCAGGGTTTCTCTGCGTGTAGTCTAAAAAGGTTTTTAAAGAAAATTCAAAAGCAATTCTTGCTCTAGGGTAGTGGTTCTTAACCTGTGGGTCACAACCCCTTGGGGGGAGGTCACATATCAGATATCCAGCCTACCAGATATTTACAATACAATTCATAACAGCAAAATTACAGTTATGAAGTAGAAGCAAAATAATTTTATGGTTGGGGGTTACTACAACATTAAGAATTGTATTAAAAGGTCATAGCATTAAGATGGTTGAGAACCACTGCACTAGGGTAAATTGCAAACATTCCCAAAGTTCTCATCTTAGAAAAGCCTGGCCACTTGTTAGTTACAGACAAGAATGTTAAGATAACATGCACTCCAGTTATTTTAAGAGCACTGGGTAAAATCAGGCAGAGTTGTACACCTGTAACTCCAATACACAGGAAGTAAACAGAGAAAGAAGGATTTCAAGTTGAAGAATAGCTTGAGATACAAAGAAAATTCTAGGCCAGACTAGGATATACAGCAAGATACTATCAAAACCAACCAACAACAACAGAAAGAAAGGGGCTGGAGAGATGGCTTAGCAGTAAAGAGTACTGGCTACTATTTCAGAGGACCCATGTAAGAGTTCCAACACTCAGCTGGAGCTGACAAACTGTCGGTAGCTCCACTTCTAGGAAATCTGACATCCTTTTCTGGCAACAAGCATGCACAAAGTATATATACATACATGCAGGCAAAACACTCATACACATAAATCTTCGAAAGAAAGAAGCCAATGTGCAAGCTTGAATGTTAAAAAAAGACAAAAAACACCACTGAATTTCATAGAAAATATAGATGACACTGCAGAGATGGCTCAGTGGATGAAGTACTTGCCTATAACTCTAATGAAAGGGAATTCACTGGCTAGCTAGCCTAACCAAAATGGTGAGGTACACTGAGAGACACTTTCAAAAAATAAGGTGAAGGGCAATAAAGGACACACAACATCAACTCTAGCTTACACACACCCCCTAAAAATAAACATCCAAACAAAAAATAATAAAATGCAGAAGATGTTATAATTTTCAGATGGTTGTCCAGAAGAGACACCGGGTTAAAAACCTACAATAGTCAAGTCAGTGAGAGCTGGCCTAAATAGAACAACAGCACCCTCCTGTTCTCACTGGCAGCAAACATACACACCAGTATTAGGGCTTCTAGTTTTTCTTTTCTGCTTTTTTTTTGTTTGTTTGTTTGTTTGTAATTTGCAACCCCCTTTCTCTAATCTTCTTTGTATCATGCTTCTTTACAAAGAATGTCCAAACCTCTAGATTGCAGTGTTTTGTGTTTAGAAAGAGCAGGACTCCAACAGCACAGATTTCTCATATAATGAATTTTTCCCACAGAGAATTTTTGAACAGAGGGTCTTGCACCTATCATGTAAATGTTCTACTACTGACCTATATGCTAGCTCTGTTTTGCATTTTCAGATGCTGTGATCTCAATCTGTTGGGCTCAAGTGACCCTTCTACCTCAGTCTTGAATATTGCTAGGATTATAGATGTGCAATACTGTGCATGACCACGTGGCTTCATATGTTTCCCTCTGCCCACTCAAACATTTGCTGGGTTGGATTAGGCACGCTTTAACCTATGTCTAAGATTTGTGAGATGTGTATAATTTTTTTTTTCATGACTAGGCTAAGACCCTGAAATTTTTGAAACTTACAACATTATGAGCCAGGTGTTATGGTTCCCACCTGAAATCCTAGTACTTGGGAGGCTGAAGGATTACCATGAATTCAAGTCCAGATTGGGCTACACAGTAAATTTTAAACCAGCTGTGGTAACAAACCAAATCAAACCAAAATCAAATCAACATTATCAAACTAAGAAAAATATTGAAGCAAAAACTGAGAAGCAGGTGTGGTGGTGTACACCCTTAATCTGAGCACTTAGATGAAAACTGGAGCAGCAGGAATCTTGGCTAGTTTGGGCTAAGAAACCCTGTCTCAAAACGAACAACTCAATCAATGTGGTCCAAGTTTCTTTGAGGAATCTATAGATAATCCATTTTTAGAAATGTATGCATCAAATTCTATGAATTTTTAAATCATACAATTATAGTGGTTATATATGTGGCAATGTTATTACAAAATACAGAAATGTCAGAGAAGAAGCAAGGACAGGAAGGAAGAAATAGTGGAAAGTTAGGGAGAAGGCCTAAAGACGCATGTTTGTCAGATAAGTGATCGTGTGGGAGAGCTAACGTTTTCATGTGGGGAAAAACAATGGAAAACTAGAAATGATCTGGAAGCCCTGAGTTACAATGAGAGTGTCCTTGCGAACTTACAATGTTCTAGATTATACAGTCTAGCTATATGTGGAAATATATATGTATAATTATTTATTTATAAACAAACAATAACAAAACCCCATCAACTTTATTCTGAGGCTAGAGAAGCAAGCTTCAAGTTATACAATATCCTGAGAACTTAGTTTCTAGTTACAATAAAAATCACTTTGCTATTATTTTTGCATGTGTGGGTATTTTGCCTGCATATATGTCTGTGCACCGTTTGTGTGGCTGGCGCCTGAGGAAGCCAGAAGAGGATGTGGGATACCCTGGAACTGGAGTTACAGATAGTTGGGAGCCACCATGTGGAAATCAAAACTGGGTAAGTCCCTGAAAGAGCAGCCAGTGCTCTTAACCACTGAGCCATTTCTACAGCCTATAAGTGGCTTTTGTAAATGAGCAAAACAATGAGTAAAACCCCAGTGTTGTATTTTAGAATTTATTTCAATCAAAGCTCTAAAGCACAGCATACAAATGACCAATCCTTTTTCCTCTTTTCCTCTGGCATAAAGTCAGGAGAGGGACAAATTTCAAATCCTCATAGTGCGCATGTGTGTGCGTGTGTTTATTTTTAAGATTTTATTTATTATGTATACAACATTCTCTGTGTGTGTGTGTGTGTGTGTGTGTTTATTTTTAAGATTTTATTTATTATGTATACAACATTCTCTGTGTGTGTGTGTGTGTGTGTGTGTTTATTTTTAAGATTTTATTTATTTATTATGTATACAACATTCTGCTTCCATGCATATCTGCACACCAGAAGAGGGCACAAGATCTCATAACGGATGGTTGTGAGCCACCATGTGGTTGATGGGAACCAAACTCAGGACCTCTGGAAGAGCAGTCAGTGCTCTTAACCTCTGAGACATCTCTCCAGCCCCACATGTGTGTTTTAAGCAAGTGAAAACATCTACTAAAGGTTGAACTGTGACAGGGTCACAACAGTAACAATCCCCACTTAACTGAACCTCCAGGAACCAGAGAGCAAGCAGCTTTTGGTGGGCTATATTGACCACCTATCCAATAAACAGGGACAGAAATAGTCTAGCAAAGGAGACAAACCAGACAAACTTCTTTAGGGTATCCAACTAAGTTGTATGTTAAAGAAAGGGAGAAAAATAAAGGCACTTACCTGTACTGCCAAGCTGTTTATAAAACCTGTACTCTAAATGAAGTTGTGGAGCACGTGATTTTATTGGTTCCTGAAACACAAGGGAAAAAGAAAACTGTGGTCAAATTTCAACAAATGGGCTTTTTTCCAATCTTAGATTTTCAGAATGAACAGGGATAAGATCCTTTCATGTTTCGGAGATAGTCTGCACGTGACAGTCTGTTCTTACCACAGTTGTCTTTGGAAGTACAGTTAGAAGATGATGAGCTGAATCATATGCAACCCCTTTCACAGGCAAATGAGCTGAGCCATCACTCAAGAGCAGCTCTCCCATCGTAAAATGCTCTTCCAAAATGTGTTCACTCACCCATCCACCTTCTTTCTTTCCTTTCCTCCTTGCCAATAAATCACTGTGTAGCCCAGGATGACTTCAAAGTCTCAATCCCCCTGCCTCTCTGACTCCTGAATGCTAGGTGTGCACTACTGTGACTGGTCTAGACTCAAATCTTAAAAACAAAACAACAAAACAGTAGATATTTCTTGCTTGTGTTATTATGAATTCTGGGTAGTAAACATTTTATTTTTAGAAAAATTGTTACATGCTAAAAAACACTTCCAAACATGCAAAAAAAAAAAAAAGAAGTAAAAATAATCTGAGGATCTACTGTTTTAGATAGCCATTATTAAAGCTTTAGTAAAAAAAAAAAAATTTTTTTTGAGATCATGTACTTTGAATTCTTTACATAACTGTCAAACTTGTAAATCTCCTGTCTTACAAACCAGAATGCTGGGATCAGAGGTATGCACTGGCTCCAAGTACTTATCTGTATCTATTATATAGTATAAACTTCTGTAGATCATTTTATATGAAGGAGATCTGATTATATTTGCTGTTTACTGTGTGCGTGTAAGCTATGTAACACTTGTACTGGCTGAAAAACAATCTGTGTATGCATGTACTTGCTGTTTTCAGCTTTCAATGTCATGGATAATACTGTTACAAACATTCCTACATGTATTTCTGTTTATACTTACAAGAACTAAAGACTATAAATGCAACATAAATGAGTAATTTGACTAATGTGGTATTCAGTTTTTTTTGTTTGTTTGTTTGTTTTGTTTTGTTTAAGACAGGGTCTCTCTATGTAGTCCTGCTTGTCCTTAAACTCACAGAGGTCCACTTGTGTCTGCCTCAGTACTGAGATTAAAGGCATGCACTACCACACCTGGCTATGTGTTCAACTTTGAATAATAGTAATTTCTTTTCTTATTTAGGAAGGATGCTTTTAAAAGGTTTTATTAATATATATTAATTGTGGCAGTGGTGGTATACACCTTTAATCCCAGCAGGTGGATCTCTGAGTATGAGGCCAGCAGTGGTCTACATAGTGGGTTCCAGGACTCTCAGTGCTATTACACAGAGAAACCCTCTGCGTGTGTGTGTGTGTGTGTGTGTGTGTGTGTGTGTGTGTGTGTGTGTGTGTGTGTGTGTGTGTCTGTGTGTCTGTGTGTGTCTGTGTGTCTATGATTTCATGCCACTTTCATACACAATTATAATGGAAATTCACACACAAACCCTGCTCCCCTCTCTACCACCCCATAGGTCCCTTTCTTTTTCCCAAAATAGTTCACCTTTTATTTCATGTGTTGTTGTTTTCCTTTCTAAAAATGGATTCCATGTAAAAAAATAAAACAGTATCAGTCCTTCCAGCAAAAATGGGTCTTTTTTGTCAAGCACAGTAGTTCGTGCCTTCATTCTAGCACTTGGAAAGATGAGGCAGGAAGATCACAAGTTTGAGCCCAGCCTGAGATATATAATGAATTACAGGACACCTTATATTATAGAATGAGACCCCCACTAAAAACTACAACAAAACCTAAACCAAATAGAAACAATAACGGCAACAATAAAGGGAGTTTCTAAATCTTTATAGATAAAGCAGGCAAATAACCACACATTGCTCTATGTCACATTGACTGGTTAACTGTTCTGAACAGAAGTGTAGTATTGGCAAATAGCTAACAAGGCAGCAGAAGGCTATCATAAAAGATGTCAATTTGGTTTATAATGGTATATATATGATAGGTAAAAAGCTGTTCTGACCTCTCTTTAAAAAACTCATTATCAGCCAAGTGTGGTATCACCGGCCTTTAGGAGGTAAGCAGATCTCTGAGTTAAACAGTGAGACTGTCTCAACAAAACAAAATCACCAAACAACAAACAACCAAAAGCAAAAAACCAAAAAACCAAAACTCAACTAAATAAACAAAACTTGTCAACAAGCCAGGCATGTGTATAATCTCTACAACCTTAGTATTTAAGATGAGGCAGGAGGGTCTTGGTTTGAGGATAACGTGGACTATATGAAGGGCAGCCAGGGCTACAGAATAAGGTCCCTACTAAAAAACAAAACTAAAACAACCAATACTTCCTGAACTTGCACACTCAATTAGGCTGCCTACTATCAAAGCAGAAAGGTAGTTTTAGTACTATGGAGAAACTAGAACCCTTCTGTGTTGCTAGCCTTAATTTAAAATGGTGCAGATGCCAGCATGTCCACTTTCCCAGCATTTGGGAAATGAAGTCAGGAAAATCAGGAGTTCAAGGTTACCCTGGCTACATATCAAGTTCAAAGAAAGGTTAAATTACATTAAAGCCCACCTCAGAAAAATAGATAGATAGATAGATAGGCAGACAGACAGAAAGGTGCAATTGAAAATGCTGTAGCCAATCAATTCTACTTCTAGGTATAGATTGTAAGTGTGTGCCACCACAATTGGTTTTATGTGGTGAGGGGAAACAGTACATGCTAGGTAAGCATTCTCCCAACAGAATTACATCCCAGCGCCTCAAACATTTATCATAATTTTTTAATAGCAACATTAAAAAACTTGTACTTCAGGCCAGGCGGCTGTGGCACATGCCTTTAATCCCAGCACTTAGGAAGCAGAGGAAGGCAGATCTCTGCGAGTTCAAGGCCAGCCTGGTGAGTTCCAGGACAGGCTCCAAAGCTAGAGACATCCTGTCTTGAAAAACCAAAAAAAAAAAAAAAAAACAAAACCAAAAAACCCCAAACAAAACAAAAAAACAAAAACAAAAAACTCAAAAAAACAAACCTTCTATTTAAAAATACACAATAAAGGTCTACATTTTTCTTAGGACATAGAATCTATAAATCACAGAACTCAGAAGCTTCTTTCAGATTGCTTAATTCATTCATTCATCCTTGGTTTTTAGGAAAGTTTAAGCTAAATAAATTCAGACATTGAGTATTTTACACCCTCAAAGAACTCCATTAAAGCAGAACTCACAGCATTCAACAATCACTTGAGTTAGACTTTGAGTTTCCTAAGATTATAGTTAATTAAGAGAAATGCACATAATACTTGATAGTCACCTGACTGCTCTCTTCAGGTAGGACCACTCTTCATTTGGTTACAGGTCATCTAACTTATCACCAACAAAGTAGCCAGTTACAGAATGTGTCTAATAGCACAACCACCAGCAATAATTTCTTGAGAAATAGAGGGACAAAATGAGATGGAACTAGAGCAGGAAAACTACTGCCTGGCTCCAGAGAAATAATCTCTAGAGAATGGCAAAGCACAAGGGAAATTAATTTAAAAACCATAGGATCTTTACTTGAATTTCATGCTAGAAACCTTAGTAGAAAATATTCAATATGACCTTCAATATCTTAGTTAATAAAGAAAAGAATTAATCTTCATAGAATCTCAATGTTGAGAGTGAGCTTCTACCTCACATGTATTCACAAGACAGTTTTTTTTGTTTTGTTTTGTTTTGTTAATTACAGTAATGTACATCCTTGAGCTAGTCTCTTGTGCGCATGGCTGAAGACTATTCAAGCAAATATGGCTTCAGAACCTGTTCTGGAAGCATTAAGAATACAGAGTCTTCCAAACATACAAACAGCAGTTTAGAGAAAAGGAAGATGAATAACTTGCTAAGTAGCTGAGAATGACCTTGAATTCCAGATCTTCCTCTAGTTCCTGAGTACTGGGATTGCAGCCGTGAAAAGACACCATATTGGTTTTAGTTGTTGTTTTTCCAGGGGCATGATCTTTCATTCTATAAACCAGGCTAACAGTGAACTTTCAGTGATCCATCTTCTTTACCTCCCAACTGATGAAATGACAGATGGGGAGCCATCATACCTGGTTACTTTGTATCCTGACATGGATCCAAGAACTGAACACCAGTTCTCTGCAAGAACAAAAGTTCTCTTTACTGTTCAGCCACCTCTACAGTCCCTACTTTCATATTTTAAGCAGTCTTCAATTATTATTATTATTATTATTATTATTATTATTATTATTTGTGTATAAAGGAAAAGAGCATTTCCCCCCTGTGAAAAGCTGAGAGTGCTTCCCCCCCCCCCCCCCGTCTGTGTGTGTGTGTGTGTGTAGTGTGTAGGCTGGAGGCCACTTTGGGGAGTTGGTTCTTACCTTCCACACTTATGGAGGTTCTAGGTATTGAACTCAGGTTGTCAGCATTACATGGAAAGCATATATACCTTCTGAGCTAGCCTAACTGGCTACTTTGTGAATTTTTAAAAGTTCTTAAAAAGCAAAGAAGCAAGAGCCACAATGAAGAGCCAAACAAAGTAGAATTGAGGCGTTGAAGTAAGCCTTTAATCCCAGAACTTGGGAGGCAGATGCAGACAAATCTCTTGAGTTAGAAGCCAGCCTAGTCTATACAGTTAAGTTCCTGGACAACTGCAGCTACACAGAGAAACCTTGTCTCAAACAACAACATAAAAGAAACAGCAGTAGCAAGTTTCCTGCAATTCTGTAGCAGATGTTGACTGCCTATGATCAGAGAGCTGGCCATCTGCCAGAATCACAACTATTCTGAAACATACAAGTCTGCCTGAAATCTTAGATCAATGGCAGATGGCTGTCTTATATAATGGAAGGAGATCAATTACTATGCTCTATGTCCCTAATAAGTTCAACAGCAAGGGATGAAACCCCTAGATGGAGTTGCTATACTCTAGACAGGATTCTCATTCTTTCCTTCCTGACTTCTTCCATCTTCCTTCCTTTGAACCCAGGACCCCAACCAGGTTATATAGGCACTCTACCTCTGAGCTGTAACTACAGCCCCGAATTCTACTTTGTCTCACACAGAATAATCTTTAATTATCTGAGGTTACTGAACATACAAAGCAGAATAAAGCTTAATAAAAGGAAATGAAGGAAACAGATCTTTATAGGTCAAAGTGGTATGAACTTGATAGAAGAAATCTTGACAGAAAGCCTCAAAAGAAACCTTGAAAAATAAAGGGACAGTGTCAAATATATAGTAGTAGCTCAGAAATATAAAGATAAAAGTTTTTACATTGTTTTTTTTTTTTTTTGCAAATGTTTTGTATTTAGTTTATTAAAACAGGGTCTCAGGGGCTGGAAGAAATGGCTCAGAGGTTAAGAACACTGGCTGCTCTTCCAAAGGACCTGGGTTTAATTCTCAGCACCCACACAGCAGCTCACAACTATCTATAACTCAGCTTCCAGAGAATCTGACACCTTCTCACAGACCTACATGTAGGCAAAACACCAAAGCCTACTTGTATTCACATTAAAATAAGGCGGTAGTGGCACACATCCTTTGATCCCAGCACCTGGGAGGCAGAGGCAGGTGATCCCTATGAGTTTGAGGCTAGCCTGGCTTACAGAAAAAATCTCAGGACAGCCAGAGCTACACAGAAACCATGACTCGAAAACACACACACACACACACACACACACACACACACACACAAAAAAAAAAAAAAAAAAGGAAGAAAGAAAGAAAAAAAAGAAACAGGGTCTCACTGTATTTATTATATAGCACAGGCTGGCCTCCAACTTATAATATTCCTACGTCAGTCTCCACAGTGCTAGGATCACCAGGGGCCAGTAATATACTTGGCTTTGTTTTGAGGAGTACTTCTTCCTGTTCAGTAACCTCAGATAATTAAAGATTATTCTGTGTGAGACAGAAGTCAAATGGCAAATGCACTAGAGAATACTTTTCCAGAACTAAATTTCTCAACAGAAAAACAAATAGATAAACCCTTACTTGTATATTTTAAAAGGTATCTGACCTGTATCACTACATATGTTCCTTCTTTTCTGGCTCTAATTTCTCTACCAAGACCTCCCAGTCAAAGAAAAAAACAAACCAGTGCAGTTGCATAATAATCCCAGCTCTGAGGGTGCTGAAGTACAAGAGTTACCATCAATTTACCGTCAGCCTGGCTACCCATTGAGAACTGGGTCAGCCAGGGCTACAAACTGACCCTATCATAACAAGAAAAACAAGCAGGAAAAAGGGGAGGGTGGCATGTGGGTGCTGGTGACATAGCCAGCTGGGAGAGTGCTGGTCTAGCATACATTAAGTCCTAGATTCAAACTCTATTACAACAACAAACAACAACAAAAATAACCCCAAACCTGAGCATGGTGGCACAAACCTGTAGTCCCAGCACTCGAATGGAAGCAGGAGGATCAGGATACCTCAGGTATATATTGAGTTTGAATTTAAGGCCAGCCTCAGTAACAGGAAACACCTCAAAAAGGGGAACAGAGCTGGGAGAGTTTCAAAGAAATTGCCTGTTCTAAGTACTGATAGTTGGCTGGCAGCTGCTACTCTTTCACAAAACAATCCTAACAACCCTCAAACTGACAAGCAAAAGAAGATAAAAAGACTAAGCAGGGCCATAGAGAACGTTTTTTATGGGAGTTTTGTTTGTTTCTTGAGATAGCATCTCAAGAAGTAGGCTAGCCTCTAATAGCTGTACATCTTAGAACGATGTTGAGTTTCTGACCTCTTGCCTCTGCCCCCAGTTCTTGGGATTACAAGCAAGCATCATCATAACCAATTTGACAAGTTTTGTTGCTGTGTTTTTTGAGACAGGGTCTTACTGCGTAGCCCTGGCTGTCCTGGAATTCACTATGAAGACCAGTCTGGCCTCAAACTCACAGAGATCTACCTGCTTCTGCCTTAAACTCAAACTCAATATAAACATAAGGATGACACTGAACTCCTGATTCTCCTGCCTGCTCCTTTCAAGTGTTGGGATTAAAAGCATGTGCTGAAAAGCATGAACAGCCATATTTGGCTTGACAACCTCTGGGTTGTGACCCCCTTGGCAAACATCTATCTCCAAAAATATTTACATTATGATTCATTATCAGTAGCTAAATTACAGTTATAAATTAGGAATGGAAATAATATTATGGTTGGGGTCACCACAGGATGAGGAACTGTATTAAAAAGGGTTGCACCATTAGGAAGGTTGAGAACTACTGTTTTAAAGCATGGATGAGATAGCCAGACTTAGTTCTCTTCTGTTAAATATACCAATAAATGCCATACATTTAAAAAGTAGATGTTTCTGGGTGGTGGTATGGCATGCCTTTAATCTCAGCACTCAGGAGGCAGAGGCAGGTAGATCTCTGTGAGTCTGAGGCTAGCCTGGTCTACAAGAGTGAGTTCCAGGACAGCCAGAGTTACACAGAGAAACCTGTCTCGAAACCCCCCACCAAAAAAACAAAAACAAAAACAAAAAACAAGAAAGAAAACAAACAAAAGTAAATAAATAAAAAAAAAACAAACAGATGTCAAGGGGCTGCAAAGAAATGCTCACTGCTCACTGGTTTAGAGCACTTGTTACTGTTGTTGAAGATGAACCAGGTTCAACTCCCAGCATCAAGTTAGTTCACAGCCACTCATTTACTCCAGTTTCAGGGGACGGGAGCACCCTCTTCTGGCTTCCATGGTACTAGGCATACACAGTGTACATACACAAAATCAATTAACTTTTGATTCATCTTTGCTACCACTACAATTAGTATCATTTATATGACATTACACAATATACAGTTGGGATTTTTTTTTCATTATAATATCCTGATGGAGGAAAAATGACCATCTGGCATCATATACATAGTAAATATAGGTAAACATAGCATTATTGTGAATACCTACAATGACTTCTTATGGGACATTAACAATGAAAGCATCAAAACACAAAGACTACAAACACACATGTTCTACTCACCAGTTTAATGGCTACATATTCATTGGTGTAGAGGTTTTTACCTAAGGGAAAAAGAGAATGTATACATTTAGTGACATTAGTTTACAAGGTCATGAGAAAGGTGGATTTTCTAACTGGGTTCCCGTATATAAAGACAGAGCTAAGTGAAAAGCTAAACAGAGATAAAGGACTGAGATAAACCAGCAGGACTACGACAAAAACAGCTTGAGAATGTAAAAATGTAAGCTACACAAGAGACTCTGCTTTGTTTGTTTTAAAAAGGAAAAAACTAACCATATCCACCCTCTCTTCTCTCCCTTTTGCCCCCACATACATGCTAACTATGAAGTGAAGTGAACTGAGAAAGAAATGCCACAATTTCAAAGATAGAAATTTAAACCTGGAGAAGGCTGGAGGCAGAAGAATCAGGGATTCACAATCATCCTTAGTTACACATTGTGCTGCGTGAGCTCTTGTCTCAAATCTCACCCTACCCCTAGAAAAAAATTTAAGCTCAGATCAGAAGTTAAGAGGTAGGATAAAATGAGAGCTCTAACATTTGAGGTGAACCAAGGTGGTAGCCATGTGCAGAAAAGGAATAAACATGGGTGCCAATATGAACAAAAAGAGAAAATAATTATTGGAGATGACAGAAGAGCCAGGGGAGTCTCAGGAGCTGGATTTCCCCTCTTTGACCTCCCTCCTCCACAAAATTACAAAGGACAAGCAGTATTTTAACAGCTGGAGAATGGGTAAGATCATTGCAGGGGGAGGAACTGCAAAAGCAACAAAAACAAAGCAATAGATGCTACAGGCAGAGAGTGGTACAGAGTCTGGGGCTGTAAGTTCTTGAAAAAGTATTATCGGGACGGGTTAAAGACTGACAAGGAGTGGTTAAAGTAAAAACTGGGAAAGGCTGTGGCTGTATTAGGAAAACCTTAATACCATTCTAGGTTTAAAACAGAACATTTGGAAATAATTACATAATCATATCTATGACTCTGAATGATTATGTATGAGTCAGCATAAAAATTAACTAGAAAAGCAGAAGAACAGACGTAATACAATGCCTCTGAATGACTTAATACCTATCACATACAATCACCATCCTTCCAAGATAAGCCACACCCAGTTGTCAAACTTCAGAGAATATACCTAGCTCCTCACACAGTCCTGTGTATTTGATTAAAATCTGAGCCAAAAATTATATAATGTGATGATGTTAAGACAAAAATATAAATGAGTACACAGAAGAGTCTGGTAATAGAGGAAAGCATATTTGGGTACAAACATTTCAAGTCAGAAAGAGACCTGAAGAATAAAGGTCACTTTCTATATTAGAAAAAAAAAATCCAGGTTGGGCATGGTGACACACACCTTTAGCCTCAGGTGTGGGGAGTCAGAGGGCAGGTGGATCTCTGTGAGTCCAAGGTTAGTTTGGTCTATACTAGCAGTCCCAGGCTAAACAGAGGTATGTAAGACCCTATCCTATCTCAAAAGAAAGAAACCTTTGGTTTCTGTGAACACTTGTGTTTAAAAAAAAATGGGGGGGGGAGATTCCTGATTTTTTTTTTTTTTTTTTGGTTTTTCTTTTGAGCCTATCCTGGCACTCGCTCTGGAGACCAGGCTGGCCTTGAACTCAGAGAGATCCGACCCTCTGCCTCCCGAGTGCTGGGATTAAAGGTGTGCGCCACAAATGCCCGGCTGGATTCTTGATTCTTATAAACTCATTTATTGTAAATATTTTTCCTTAACTCCACACACACACAAAAATCTGCTGTTTAGTACACAGGGGCCCTGAACTCATAACAGTCTTACTGCCTCAGCCTCTGGCATAAGTCAGGTTTGCTATATATTTTTCTTTTTACCTTAGGGAGGCAATGTGTTTCCTGTGGACAAGAACGTTTAGAGTTTTGTTGGGGGGGGGGGGGGTCACACTGAGGATTAAATCAGAGCCTTGTCTATTAGGCTAGGTAAATGTTCCATCATTAAGCTACATCCCTAACCATCAATATTTCTTAAATCCCCAGCAACATAAAATAACATGTTTGCTAAAGTGAACCAAACGGACTTGGTCCTAGCTGGTGGGTCCAAATTACTAGGAGGTGATTGCATCAGGAAAGGCTGGCTTGGATTAGTCAGCCTACAGATTAGTTTACTTGTGGAGTCATAGTTTGATGGCACTATTGACAGATAATAAAAACTAGCAAATGGGGCCTAATCACCAGGACATAGTTTTGAATCGTCGATGTAGTTTCTGGAATCAATCAATCTCTCCCTCCCCCTCCTTCTTCCCTCTCTCTCTCTGACTTTCTTCCAGACCACATGGTGCACAGCTCTGCTACACTACTCCATTTAGCCATATGTTCTGCCTCACCATCAGTCTATAGCAGCAAACCCAGGCAATCATGAAGTGAAGCATCTAGAACCATGAACTAGATAAAACTCTTCTCCTGTATACTCTTTGTGTACAGGAGAAACTGACATATGATAGGTTTTTAACTCCATTTTTCAGCTTACTGAGAATCACCAGCAGTTTATGCTAAGAAAAAAATCAAGCGATCTTTTAAAAGTATTATCTTGTCCCTACTGCATAAAATAGAAGAGACTAGCTAGAAGACAAACAGGGCATTTTCATAGCAGAACATTTAAAGAACCACACTTTTGGCTTAGAGTGGCTATAAAGATTACATGAAGATTACATAAGATAGAGCATGTGAAAGTACTTTGTAAACTAGGAAGTACTAAATAAATCTTATTTTCATTATTATTTTAAGTATGAGGTATCAACCTCTCTTTTTTTTAAAAAAAAGACTAAAACAATTTGAAGTGGAAAAAAACTGCCTCCAGATTACATTTAATAGGAGATGAGAAAAAAAAAGGGTCAAAAATTATGTTCGTATACCAAGTATGGTAGCCCACTCCTTTAATCTAGTGCTGGAAAGGTAGAGGCAAGAGATCATAAATTTAAGGACTACATGAGATCCTGTCTTGAAAAAGTGAGAAGGTGAGAGAGGTGGGGGGGTGCTCTTAGTGAGAGGAGGACAAAAAAGCAAAGAATAATTAAAGAATGTGCTTTCCTCCCAAGTACTCGATAAACTGAAAAGTGATAGATTAGGAAGTGCTTCTCAGCTTCAATTTTCTACATAGAAAAATATACTAAGTGGTGAAGTTACTTTCTGCAGATGTGACAAGACCATGTGCCAACATGAAGATGACTGTTGTGACCTACAGAATCCCTTGGTCCCAAGTGTGATAAAGTACCTAAAAGGTAGAAGGCTGACTAGGGATGAAGACTACAGTGACACAGCTGGCGTGGGACCTTGTGGTGATGCAGCTAATCTCTAGTTATAACCAATAAATTCACCAGGCAGTCCTTAAAAGAGGTCTCTTAGGTCTCTTGGGTCTCTTGGTGCCCTATCTGGGGAAAACAGAGGGCTCTTTACTTCCGAGAGAATGTAACAAGCATAAGCTTAACACCAGACATGGTGATGGATACATTACAGAATGCCAACTGGTTTGTGTTTGTTTACTTTTTCCAAGAACACTGAAAGAACTAAATTAATGTCATTCTCTTATCTAGCAGCTAATGAACACTGGGGGTAATGTGGTAATTATTCTGGGCTAAGCACTCTTCAAATAAATTCCTCTGCCAGAGGGCAAAGGCATCAACAAAATGGAACAGGGGCTGGTGAGATGGTTCACTTGTCACCAAACCTGAGGATTTGAGTTAGATACCTGGAGCCTGTGTGGTGGAAGGAAAGAATGAAAACTTTTGACCTCCACATGTACATGATGGCACATGCCTCACCTGCCCCACCCTATAGGCAGAAAAAAAAAAAAGTAGTAATTAAAAAAAAAAGAACTGAACAAGCCAACATGAAACACAGTCATTTAGAAATCGAGTCATTCAGTCAATATGCCCAGTGAATGTACTGCACTCAGAAATTCTGTACTGGAAGAATTTAATGACAAAGACTGAGGGTCAAAATCCTGTCCATTTAAAATGAATAACTACTTTAGCTAAAAATATACATAAAACAATATTAATAACTATGAGAAGAGCAAGCAGTTAAGGGACTGAAAATCTGCCCATCAGCTGGAATGATCCCAAATACTCAAAGCTTTAGTATCCATTGCATAAAATCCACACGCTTAATTTTTGTTCTGGGTTCTATCATTAGAGGCAGAAAAACTGTGTTACATAGAGCTTTGGGAGCATTTTTATCCAAACTCAGCTCTTCACAAGTAGAAGCCTGGATATGATGCTGCCAACAAAACATCTGAAGGAAGACTTCCTGTTTCAGCAAGTTACCTACAGGCTACATTTTACCAAAAGTTTTATTCAGACACATTTTTTTAAAGACCCAGTAGGTCTCAGGTCTTAAGAGTCATACAACTTAGGAAACATACAGTGTTGGGTTCCCAGTTTAATTATCTTTCCAGCTGCCAAGCTTTCTTGCCCTAAAGTGAAACCAGTACATGTATAAGTTACTAACTAAATCTTACTTTTAAAAATCTAGGAAGAAGAAATTGAAGCAGAAGCTGAAGAGAGAGTTCAGCAGATAGAGAGCTCAGTGGGAAGGATCAGCACCCATGTTGAGTGGCTTACAACTATCCGTAACTCCAGTTTATGGGATCCACTGGTCACTTCTAGTCTCTCCAAGTAAACACACACACACACACACACACACACACACACACACACACACACACACACACACACACACACACACACACACACACATGCGCGGTGAGAGAGAGAGGAAGAGGGAGGCAGAGAGGGGCAATTAGCTCTTGTAATCACTTCTACATACCTGTCAACAGTTAGCAATCCTACTTAAGGAAAAGAGGACAGTAGTTGGTCCACTGCTCCCTCTGTTCACAGAGCATCTCTTTATGTGTACAGGAAAGAAGACAGTAACTAGTACTACAATGTTAAACATTTCCCAAATACTGAACAGTTAATGACAAGGATGATTTATGTGCCAATTTTGTTTTGCAAAAGATTGCTTAGCAGTAACAGCACTGGGCTGGAGAGATGGCTCAGCAGTTAGAAGTA